GAGCGAGGGGCGTCGCTGCCAGGCGGCGGTGGGAGAACCCGACGGTTCCCAGGGCAGGAGCCGGTGCCCGGCCACGCCGGGACCCCCTCTCTGCTCCCAGCGACCGGCACCGCCGCAGGGAGCCTCCGTCTGCCGGCACGTCAGGAACTGCAGGACGGACTGGGAGGCTCCAGGTCCTGCGAAGCTTTTCCAGGCTTCGGAAGAGGAGAAGCGGCTCCGAGGCTGCCACGAGGAACTGCCCTCTGCTCCAACGTCTGCAAGGGGTAAAAGGAAGAACAGCAACGGTGCCCGGGAGCGCAGGGGAGAGCGGCGAGCAGGGGGCGGGTGGTTGGACCGGCCGATCCGGGGTATCCGGAGCTCCCTGCGGCGCTGTCCCGGGCGGAAGGGACGCGGGTCCTTCCCGCGCGGCGGCGCCGAGGAGGCAACGGCAGCTCCCCAGAGCTTGTGCGAAGCGGGGCAAAACCCACCGTTTTCAGCCAATGCATGGCCCAGATTGGGAGGAGAGAGACTCCAGACACACGGGCACACGCTTTGTACAAAAACCTTTTTTAATTTCACAAAATCGGGTGGCTGTGTCGCAGGATTAAAACCGGCCCTATACAGAGGATCAGATGAAAAAGTCAGCACGTGTATTATTTATACAGAAACACAACAGTGTCAAGAATTCAGGTACTCTGTAGGATCAGCACTAGTACAGTAAAAAATAAGTCTCCGTCTGGATCCTTTATATTGTGAAGTTGATCACGCTAAAAACAACCTGAGGTTTTGCTAAAGCGGGTTCCGGCCTGCAGCCGCGGCGGATCCTGGGAGCGGGATGTGGCGGATCCTGGGAGCGGGACGCGGCGTTCCCGGGGGCCATGGGGCGCTGCGGATCCTGGTAACGGGACACGGGACGCGGCGGTCCCGTGCACAAAGACCCGCGCGCCCTTCCCGGCCGCGGGGCAGTAAGCTGGTTTTTGCAACTCTAACAAGGATGTTGGCAGCTCGTGTGATTTTTTTTTTTTTTTTTTTTTTTGGCATTTTTTTTGTTTTTTTTTTTTTTTTTTTTTTTTTAAAGTAAAAAGTATATGCTCCAAAAAGGGGGACTAAAAATCACGTTTTTGTTTTTTTTTTTTCCTCAGTTGGCTACTGTACCAAACTACTTGGAGGGAAGGTTCAACTACCACCTTTGAAGGCAAAAAAAAAAAAAAAAGTAAAATCTGGAGCAAGAAAACTCCTACCGTTGAGTGGTTTTATTCCAATTGATTCACTCCTGGCTTCCTTCGCACCGGATCAATATTTTCTTTAATAAGTTAGTGAGGCAGCCCCAGGACTCGCTCCTGTCCCTAGTGAGGAGGTGTGGGTATGGATGGAGCCGGCATTGCTGCCCCCTCCGCGCTCCAGCACGCCCGGGTTCTCCTTTTCTGCCCAAATCGCTGCTTTGGCGCCCGAGCTTTGCTGGCTCTGCCTGGAGAGCCAGAAGATGGAGCGACGGGTGAAGGCGGCACCTGCTCCAGCCCCACAAATCACTTACGGTTGAGGCAATAGGAGCGGAGGCGGCTCCAAGGCGAGCGGAGCGCGCGGGCGTCCCGCCGGCACCTTCCATCCCGACGCTTCCCGCCGGGATGCGGGCTCCTGCCGCGCTAAGGGCAGGGCGGAGCGGGGGAAGCCGTGCACAGGCTCCTATACGTGTATGTATGTGTGTGCACACGTATGTGCATGCGTGTCCGTGCACACACACGGCCGGGGGCAGGCGGGAGCCTCCGAGGGGACAGGAGGTAACTGAGGAATGGGTTTTTGGTCGCCACGGTGCTGCTGTAGAAGTTCCTTCCTTCCTTCCTTCCCTCCTTGCCGGCGCTTAGGGAGCTGCCGAGGCCGGCGCGGCTCCCGCTGGAGGGGGGGTCACCCCTTCTGCTGGCGGCGGCGGCTGCGCGGGAGCGGGATCTGCGGGAAAACAGAGGGAAACGCTGGGCCGGGAGCAGGGAAAACGCCCGGCCGAGGGAACAGGCGACTCGGGCAGCTCCGCATCAACCAGCCTGGAGCTCGGCCCCCACTCCGGAGCCCTCGGGTTATGGCTCCTGCCCGTTTAAAGCACGAGTAACAACACGGTTTATAAACAGAGCCTGCACTTCAACTCCGAACAGCAAATACACGTTGGAGCAGAGGCTTCTGGAGCTGCGGCAGGAGGAGAGGAGGGAGGGGTGGAAAAGGCCAGTTCCAGTGTACACAAAGGAGATGCTAATGGAACATGACCGACCTGTTTAGTAGGGGGTGGAAAGAGAAGTCAACGTAGGGGAAAAGAGCAAGCGGAAACACAACCTGACAAGATATCCCCAGTGGTGGAGGCTGAGGAAAGGGCACGAAAACCAGGGAAAGCCAAAGCACGGGAAGAGCAGAGAGGCCGTGTGTGAACAAACAGCCTCAGAGCAGGCGTCTCATGGTGACGTGAGCCAACAGCAGCGAGCGCTGACACCACGCAAGGAACATTCCTACGGACCCTTTGCTTCCTCCTAATTAGGGCTTCCCCTTTGGAATGGCACAACGTGAGGTGTTCACTAAGGTACCATTGAACTGGATTGTATTCCAATCTCAACTATTTAGGGATTTAACTACCGTTAATTGAACCCCCGTGTGCATTACTTCGGAGTTTGACAGAGGTTTTTGACGGTGAGCACAAAGCCTTAGAGTCGTTATAAATAAAAAAAGGGATGTTATAAATAAAATAAAGGACAATAGCATCCGCCTGGATGCCTAGAGGGGAGACAAGCACTTAAAGCTTCCAGCACACCTCTGGCACCAATGTTTGGCTGCCGAGACGCACGGATCTCGTTTCCCAGCACGTAAGGGGGTTTCGGCTAGGCTGCCGTTCCCAGCGCCGGGAACGCCGCGCTCGGAGCCTCGCGCCGGGGCTGCACTCACACAGGCCGTTGGGAGCTGCCAGAGGGATGCGCGGTCCGATGAGGTTTCCCGCCATGGGCGCCATGCCGGGCGGAGCGGGGCCGCTCCCGGCGGGATGGATGTTGGCTGACACACTTGGCATCATCCGGCCGGGCATGGGCTGCCCAGGGAGCATCGAACCTGGCCCCGGCATCTGACCTGCAAGAACGTTAAAAGGACACAGTAATGGAACACGCTGGAAACACGAGTGATGGGAAAAGCACAGCAAAAAGCACAGAAGAGTCTAGATGTGCTCAGGAAAAGACAGTTCTGTAACGGAGCCAGCTCCATCCCCGCTCCAAATGCCACCTGAGTCACCCCGAAGGAAAAGCTTCTCCACTGCCAATGTCAACATATTTGCTGCAAGAACAACTGCTGGGCGCTTTATTGTCACAAACACCCGTGCAATAGGCAACAGGAGAGTCCGCTCCGCGTCAGAGCTCCCTGCCTGACGAAGCCTTGGGAAAGGGACCCACGTTAGCGATGGAAACGGAGCTGCGGGAGCCAAACCGCCCCGGGAGAACACGGCAAAGCCCTCGGTGAGCAGGAGCCGGCGCAAAGCCCCACGGATCGGCCCTTCCCGGCGCAGGACGGGCCCTTCCCAGCGCTCCGCGCTCGCCCCGGCTGCGTTCCGTAACGCTCCCGTCGGCTCCTTCCTCCCGCCCGGCAGCGCTGCCCTGGAGCGCGTCGAGGGCTAACGCTGCGCTGGAGATGGGAGCAGATGGAGCGGATCCACCGGCACCGGGCCAGGGCTCTGGCCCGGGAAGGAGAGCCCGGAGCTCGCGCCAGGGCAGCGCGGCCGCGGGAGCTCCGTGCAGGGCTGCCGCGTCCCCACGCTCCCGGCCTGGCTCAGAGCGGGATGCGCCGGGTCCCGCTGCAGGAGCTGGGATTCTCCTCTGACCCGCGTGACGGATGTGGGAACTTCTGCCGTGCCTGCTGATGTGCGGTGGCCCGTGGCGCCGCAGTCACGGCACGTGGAACAGCAGCTTGAGCTCCAGTTGCTAACATTGCCAGTGTGAAATACTTAAAAAAAGCACAGAAAAACCCCTCCAGAAATCCTCCACACGCAGCATGAATCTTCAGCAGTTGCTTCTGCAAACACAGCCCGTCCCCTGGGAGCCACAACAGCAAGGCTGCTTTTCCTTCACAGACAAGGAAGGATTCGAGCATTCTCCTTGTGGTCCCAGTAAGTTCCACACTCCTCAAGTTGGAACATCTTGCACCCAAGATATATTTCTTTTAAACAGAGACGTGGACTCAGCGTAGACACTTTGGTCCACAGTTAATGCCCATCAGAGGGGCAAGAAGATGGACGAGTGTGACAGCACAAGGCTCTTACTCTGTTTCTTACGGCCTTCCCAAGCACCGGCTGTGGCCCATGACACGAGGACCTTCGTGCAGAGCCAGTGCACACGTTTGCACTGTCTATTTGCAGAAATCTGGGTTTGCCAGGCAGGAGAGCAACAGAGCCAACACACCAAGAGTGAACCATGGAAACCTGTCTGGATGCAGGCTGGCTCTCACGCAAGGTGAGCGCAGGAATCCGCCTCCTCCTGCGTCCGCATCGTGTCCCGGGAAGGGGATGGCCCCGAGCAGCAGGCCTGGTGCGCTGCTGCATGGGGACAGCACTATTAGGCTGTTAAGAATCATAGAATCATGAAATCACAGAATGCTGAAGGTTGGCAGGGACCTCTCGAAGTCACCCAGTCCAACCCCTGCACACGCAGGGTCACCTAGAGCACGTGGCACAGGGCTGCGTCCAAGCGGGTTTGAAGATCTCCAGAGAAG